TACAGGCGTGCGCCACCATGCCTAGCTAATTTTTGTATTTTTAGTAGAGACGGGGTTTCACCGTGTTGACCAGGATGGTCTTGATCTCTTGACCTCATGATCCACCCGCCTCGGCCTCCCAAAGTGCTGGGATTACAAGCGTGAGCCACCGCGCCCGGCTAAAATTTATTTTTGATAGAGATGGCATCTCACTGTTGCCCAGGCTAGTATCAAACTACTGGAGTTAAGCCATCCTCCCGCCTCGGCCTCCCGAAGTGCTGGGATTACAGGTGTGAGCCATTGTGCCCAGCCTGATGTTCCCTTGTATAGCAAAAATATTTAATCTCCTCACCGCCTTTTCTGTTCTGAACCCACTCCTATGAATCTTTGATTCTCACCGCTCCACTGAAAGTTGTCAAGGTTATCTATGACTGCTACATGGCCATGTCTCAGTGGCCAATTTGCAGGCCTCCCTATACTTGACTTCTCAGCAGTCCTTGACTTGGTTGATCATTCTTGTGTCGAAACACTTTCTTCATGTGCTTTTTAGGGTTCCATACACTCCTGACTTTCCTTCTTCCATACTGGCTCCTCTTCAGTTTTATTACTCTCTCTGGTTGTCCACTTGATGAGAGCACTTACCATACTTCTCTTGGCTGGGCGTGGTGGCTCACGCCTGTAATCCCAGTGCTTTGGGAGGCTGAGGTGGGCGGATCGTGAGGTCAGGAGATCAAAACCATCCTGCCTAACATGGTGAAACCCCATCTCTACTAAAAATACGAAAAAAAATTAGAAAAAAAAAAGAAAGAAGGTGACATGTAGCTGGATGATAGTACTAGAAGTTGAAAAGATCCATTGAGAGACACTGTGGAGCAGGGCTCGATGACTACGAAGATACCAGAGTATAACACATCACCAGGTGGGCATCGTATTACACGAGATCAGCAGGCTGACCGCCTTCTAGACATGGACTGCCCTAGAGAGTCACTGCTCTCAACCTATGCAGCAAGTGGACAAGGTGTCAGCACGATCTCTTGGGAGGGCCTGTCCTCAGGGAGTTTGGATTCACTTAGGTCTCCTGGTCCTTAGTTTTAGTCAGTCATAGGAACCTCTAGATTTGCCCACACTCCATAAGAATGGCTCTTATTCTCAGGATAAATATCTTGGCCACAGTCCTGAACCTCACAAAAAACCTGTTATTGACTATGACTCTGCTCTTCTTTCGCCCAGGCACTATTGGACCTTTCAGGCTGGGTGTGGTGGCTCATGTGTGTAATCCTAGCACTTGGGGAGACTGAGGCAGCAGGGTCACTTGAGCTCAGGAGTTCAAGGCCAGGCTGGGCAACATAGCGAGAGCCTGTCTCCATTTTGAAAGTTAGTATAGGCTGGGCGCGGTGGCTCACGCCTGTAATCCCAGCACTTGGGGAGGCGGAGATGGGTGGATCATGAGGTCAGGAGTTCAAGACCAGCCTGGCCAAGATGGGTGAAACCCCGTCTCTATTAAAAAAAAAAAAAATTAAAAAAAAAAAAAGTTAATATAGGCCGGGCCCAGTGGCTCATGCCTGTAATCCCACCACTTTGGGAGGCCAAGGCAGGTGGATCACCTGAGGTCAGGAGTTCAAGATCAGCCTGACCAACATGGTGAAACCCTGTCTTGACTAAAAAATACAAATATTAGCCGGGCATGGTGGCGCACACCTGTAATCCCAGCTACTCGGGAGGCTGAGGCAATAAGAATTGCTTGAGCCCAGGAGGTGGAGGTTGCAGTGACCTGAGATTGTGCCACTGCACTTCAGCCTGAGTGACAGAGCGAGAGGGACTCTATCTCAAAAAAAATTAATATGTAGCTTCTCTCTTGACAAGATGGCCACCCTGGCGGTACCAGCAAGTGCTCCTTGCACTCTGCCAGCCCCAGCTCGGACAGCAGCCTCAGCCTTGGTCCCAAGCCCAGTCCCACCCCAGCGCCAACACTAGCACTGGCTGCAGCTCCAGCTCCAGCCTCAACCTCAGACCCTATAGCAACAGCGGCTGTGACTGCGGCTCCAGGCCAGACCTCGGCCTCCGTGCAAGCTCCAGCGCAGGCTGCAGTGCCCGCTATGTTTGGTCCTGCTATCCCAGGGTCCTTTCCCGGCAGCTGCATGGCCAGGCTGCATGCAGCCATTTTGGCCTCCATTGTGGACAGCTTAGAGTGATGGAACGAGGGAGCTATCTGAGTTTTTGGGACCCCGTTGGGAACTGTCGACGAACAGTCGGTGGAGGTCACCAATTGTTTAGTGCCACACAGTGAGTAAGAAGATGAAGTGGCTGTTTACACAGAATTTGCTAAGAACATGTATGCACTGCAGCCGGGCACGGTGGCTCATACCTGTAATCCCAGCACTTTGGGAAGCTGAGGCGGGCAGAGACCCAGCCTCAGCCTCCCAAAGGTCAGGGGTTTGAGACCAGCCTGACCAACATGGTGACGCCCATTCTCTACTTTAAAAAAAAAGAAAAAATTACCCGGGTGTGGTGGTGCACACCTGTAATCCCAGCTACTTGGGAGGCTGAGGCAGGATAATTGCTTGAACCTGGGAGGTGGAAGTTGCAGTGAGCCAGAGCGCACCATTGCACTCCAACCTGGGCAACAGTGCAAGACTCTATCTCAAAAAAATAAAAAAGTTGAAAATTAGAACATGTATGAACTGCATAAAAAATGAGCCCATCCTCGGCTGATAGGCTACAGGCCATGACATCACAGAGCACTCTGTGCGGATTCTTGGGTGCTACAGCCTGGAGGCCCCGAACCCCATCCACCTCGCTGTGCTCACAAGTCTCCAGAACATCTGCATGAGCCTCAAGGCCTGTGTCAGCACTTTAATGGATGTCCCTCGGAGGACCACGGGAGTGACGTTCACACCTCTGACAGTGAAATATACATACTATGAAACTGAACGCACTGGAGTTGACCCGATCACAAAGACCTGTTTTAGCCCCAAACACAGACTCTCAAGTGACTTGCAGCAAGTAGGAGGGGCATCAGCCTGCATCCAGGGTGCCCCAACCACAGTGTTGCAATATACAGAGGATGTACTGTCTGGAAAGGTGTCAGCTGACAATACTGATGTGCCTGGTTAGGCAAGTACCCAAAATAGTTCCCAGTGACTTCGAGACCATGCTTAACAGCAACATCAATGAACTGCTGATGGTGACCGGGCCAATCTCACACATTCACAGATTGCCCTCAGTAAGAAACTTGTAAACCTGGGAATGGGTCCCAAGCAGTAATCCTAGCACTTGGGGAGGCTGAGGCAGTACACCTGCCAGTCTAGGTCTCTGAGGGAGAAATGATTTTTTGTGGTCGAGTCACACCGAGACAGTCAACTGCCTGTGACTCTAATAAACATAGCCTATCTTTTGTAAAAAGTAAAAAATGCTGCCGGGCGCGGTGGCTCAAGCATGTAATCCCAGCACTTTGGGAGGCGGAGGCAGGTGGATCACGAGGTCAAAAGATCGAGACCATCCTGGTCAACATGGTGAAACCCCGTCTCTACTAAAAATACAAAACATTAGCTGGGCATGGTGGCGCGTGCCTGTAATCCCAGCTACTCAGGAGGCTGA